ACACGGGGGAAACAGCTGCTGCAGCTTTCCATACTCCACGCTAATTCTCTCCCGAGGTCATACATACGTAGTTTAGGGTATCTGCAGCAGGCCACCAACACACGGACACTGAAAAACCACAAAGGATTACTGGGGTTCGCTTTCGAGCATCCCTGTTTTTGCAGTCAATTCTTCGTGGGAAAGAGATGCGGAGACCATGTACAGTGCGGGAACGCACGTGCTAAACATTGGAATTCTGTAGTCCGTCTTCATATTTATTTGCCCTTGTGATTACTATCTTTTCTATTGCTGTCAAAGAACGATGCGGAGCTGTAGACGAGGGGTGAGCTACACGCGCAAGCAATCCCCCCTGCATCCTGCTCACCCGCCCAAACCAACCAGCATGCCTACAACACATATCTTTATCTTTGCAAGAAATTTGTTCAACACCGAATATTTTTCATTCACTGCTGGCTACCGATGAATCGCCCGATACAGCCCAACAGCCTCTCCCATACCGTCAGCTGCTACACCGAACTAGCGTTCTCTCTCTCTCTCTCTCTCTCTCTCTCTCTCTCTCTCTCTCTCTCTCTCTCTCTCTCTCCCTCTCTCCCTCTCTCTTTCTGTCTCTCTCTGTTTCTCTCTTTCGCCAACCATCTTACTCGATACACTCTAAGAAGGTGTCACACGCCAACAATTACAATTTGTTTGGGGGTCACGGCATCCAAGCAACACTACTGCTGTTTGGGGTGGTGTACTAGCGCTCCGAGCAGCACCCAGCATAAATAAACGAAACGTCTGGAGCCCCCGGAGACAGTCGCTTTTCATCCTCGCTTCTTGCGGTATTTTTCCGGTCGGTAAAGCCGATTGCTGGTTTCGGTATATTACCGGTCGTAAAAGGGGTCTGACCCGGGAAGCTGACATCCTTGAACCCGAGCTCACAATGGTGCACAAGTATGTTCCTAACCTTAATATTTCTGTAGGCCACGATCTAGGACACTGCTGTGACCGACCGTCATGAGGGACTCCACGCTGCTCTCCGGATTAAAGACAGATACCGTAGCAGTAGCAGAAGAAACCTGCAGGTGGCTGCCACGGGTGGTACTACTTGGGATGCGCGTGCGTTTTTCATTGTTTTCGTCGTCGTCCCTTGTCGTCCCTGCATTTACGACCACCGCCACCTAATCTCGTCGCCAGTATTCCCACTACTTGGCACAGCTCCTCTCCAGTCTTGCGGCGTTTGTGTGTGTGTGTGCTTTCTCAAAAACCTAGCATCCACCGGGCTAACTGCTGTGGTTGACTGATGTGCGCACGTGTGAGGTCGTGATGACGTGTGGAGTCTACAACTGCAGCGCAACAAACTGAGGCGTCTGTGCGTCTACAAAGATTTTCGAGCGGCACTTACTTGCGGGAGTTTTCGCACAGGTGTGTGCGTTAAAAAAGTAATATCGCCTTCAGGGTTTACTCAGGACCGCACACAACGGAGTTATCGCAAAGGTGCGTCAATATTTCAAAGCCAAATTATTTCATTCGATGTCCGCATATGGTCCGGAGTCATCGCACGGTCCGGAGTCATCGCACCCCTCTGTGTGCGATGAAAATTAAACGGAGAATATTTTATTAACGACCGCACAGGGGTGCGACGACTCGCAACCATACAGACACAGATATGGTTCGTTGTCGTCTTCCCTTCAACTACACTATGTACAAGAAAAGATCGACCCCTGATTTTTTTCCTGTGAAACGTACACGTTCAATCACGCGCAATCGCCATGATTGAAGCCAACGCACGTCGCAACTGACTGACAGCATAGAGCACAGACGCCCAGCACACGTCGGCAGTACTTGCAGACCTACCGCAAGCCAATTAATTGTAAGGTTAGCACAGCTTCCGCAGCAACGAATGAGTTGATATTCCTTTTTCGCGCATGTATGCATACGGCAATAAACCCTCCGCATGACACGAGACAAAGTACCCTACGGCTATATAAAAGTATAGTCTAGTGCGTGTTCCTATTCATCACAACGAAAGCTGGGGGAGTTGCGGCCGCTGTCGTGCGCCCAGCACATCAATCTCCGAAATACTGTACATGCGCCCTGAAATTACAGTCGTCTGCACTTTTTTGAAAGGTGCTGTAACTCACGACACCACAAGCTAAAAACAAAGAAGGTACTGGGTACTTTATAGTTGTTAGGGCGTTATCCGCCGTAAGCAACACCACCCGGGTTCGTGTAACGACATGTCGCTTTCTTTTCCGTCATTTCTGGTGTCCAGAGCTCTCTAAGTTCATTTGTGTTTAGGTACATGTGCTGCCCAGAGACATCGCACAAATTAGTCTGCAGACTAAGAGTATGTTACAGGTGCAGTCTAGTAAGTTCCTGCACACAATACTGACTCTGCGTTCGGTTACTTCTTGACCATCCCCGTGGGGGCCACGTTCCTCGTATATTTATCCTTCTTCTTCGTTTCTCGGGTCACATATATTTTGCTATCGTCAAATTCTTGAAAGAAAAAAAGTAGATCTATCGACTAGTGCCGCCCCGAAAGCAGGATTGATTGGTGACGCGCGTCTTTTGTGGTATGGGACGAATGCTTTGAACACCAAGTTTGCATTTTACCCACGAAATGAAATGGTCACGAGGCCCCGAACTAAATGATTGACAGGATCGACCAAGACAGACACGCAGCACACTGGGAGCGGGGGGGGCGATGCTTCACCCTCGTAAACGTCTACAGTGCCGGCTACGACAATATGAGAGAATCGATACAAGAGAAATCTACGGATGGATAAAAGAGAATGATTCGGCGTGCCACGGCAAAAACCGATAGACACCAAGAGATAGTTTGCCTTGTTCCTGAGATATTCTCTTAAAACGAGCCCTGACAAATAGATTTACAATGAAGGAGCACAAGCCGTAGATGGTAGCTTGGTCCTAGGGGAAGGACAAGGCAAATGTCGCTTCACGCTCTTGCTTCACAATCGTGAAGGATGGGAAAGTTGCAGTTGGAAAGTTGATTGTTATTTGCTGAGAAGGTCAGTAAAGATGTAACTTCATCTCAGGGGGCACGCAGAGTAGACAATTCTGAGGTGTGGGTACTTCTGACCATCCCACATCCTATCCACAATAAGGTGTACCCTATTCATGCCAACAGCCACACTCCTTAACATTAGCCCACCCCGAATGTCATGCATGAAGATTTCAGGCTCAAATCCTAGAGAACCGGTCTATCTACAAGCTGATTCAATAACAGCATGAATCGAAGATATGACTGTTCATACAAGCGCCCTAGGAAAAGAGGGGGCTGCAGAAACAACGTAAATCTTCCCCGCACCACTATTGAGACAGAGTCGGCAACGATGCGCGATGAAGGGCCAACCCGACGAACACTGCAAAAACTAAACTATTCATGCCGACAGCCACACTCATTGTAACATATCACGCCCCCCACCGGACTTGGATGTGCAGATCATTTTTGTGAGCTCGAAGATGTTGTTGAGAAATGCGGCAGCCCGACGTTTCCTATCATCTTCGTAAGACCAAGCTCGCTTGGATGAGCATGGGGGGTCAGGAGAAGCAAAGCGATCGTGCATGCGTATAAGAAACGTTTCCTAAGTAAGATGGAAAGGAGACAGAGTGAAAGTGCTGATCATAGGGAAATCAACGGGGTGGGAGGAGGAGCGCACCGCCGCTTTCTCCACCGCCTGTTTTTCCTTGTTGATTTGGGGATTTCCATTCTATTTATTTTATATAAATACTTCATTTATGAATATCAAAGAATAATCAAACGTAGATGCAAACGGAAAAACAGCAGTGTTTTGTGCGGGAGGGCACTCTTAGACGCAGCACGTAGCGACCCGCAAACGTAGCTACGCAGAGCATCTTCGTTGCGGTGGAAGACGCTGTAACCAAAACACATCAGACGGTGCCTTGAGTGAAAACAATGCGTTGTCGTTGCTGCAGCATGACGCCCATATGGGTTCGAATGCGTTCATGGAGCTCAGACATCAATTTTGGAAGGAGTTTTTCTCTATTCGGCCCTTAGGCAACGATTTTAGAGAAGTTCTCTTCGTGTGTACTTCCGTCATGTAGTCCAATATGAGAGAATTCTCTTACAACAAGATAACAGTCCGATACAAGAGAATGATTTCAGCTTGCCACGTCTTCTCTTGTAGGCAGTACGAATATGACACCAAATGAAGCAGCGCGTTTAATCGATCTGGAATCGACGACAGCTCGAAGTATTTCGTGTTTCTATATATAGACTATATAATATTATTTACTGCACTGGATTGGGTGAGGCCTCATGCACCGCCGGACTGTGGCCAAGCCCGTCCGCCGTTCGTTGTATCCATTGGATTGGCTTTGCTTGCCGACGACGTCTTCCGGTGCAACATGATCTCACCCGGACTTGTACTTCGTACTTACTATTCATGTCATGGTAGATACCGGCGGCTTCATGACAGCCCTGCGACCCGCACTTGCGGAAAAAAAGTTCTCGTTGGAGCGCTGCCAACAGGGCACTAAATAGCTTAGGCGTAGCTCTACCTGCGGCAACTGCTGCCATCACCTTGCAGTCGCCCATTAACTACTATATAATTGCGGTGGCCACGAGGTAGCATGTCGCTACTGGCGCCGCTTCCCAGCCCCCGATGTGCAGGATCTGAGTGATCCCACTGCCGCTCCCGTGATGGGTTTTCCGCGGCAAACCTCCCACACGAAAGGAATACCACGTAACGTATGGATGAGAGACAAGGCATCGGGTGTTGTCGAAATTTTCATTGTTTTTCTCTGAGCTTGTTTTTCGGGCTCTGGTACCATCCCCCCGACCGGTATGCCATCTATTTGTCCGGACCCCTGTACGGTAAAATATTTCATATTGTTTTTTTTGGTGTTCAACGTACCCCGGTACCACCGCTCCGACCGGTGCGATACCCAAAGAACACACACTGCGACCTTACTGGCGCTACGACTGTGCTAATTTCGCGCGCCCGGGAGCCATCTCGAGCTCTCACGCCTGGATGAGGAGCCACGTGCGTGCGCGACAACATGTCACGCAGAGGGTAATGCACACGATCGGTTTGATTGCTGATTGATGTTCCCTCCGGATTCTGCATTCATGATCAGTGTTCGATTTTTCATGGGTGTTTGGTGAGGAATACGAGGAATACCCGCTGCTTCTTCTCCGCCTGCTTGCCATCAATCCAGGGACTGCCGCCGTCGCCTCAACAGTTACTATCGTCGCCGCCTGCTTGCCATCAATCCAGGGACCGCCGCCGTCGCCTCAACAGTTACTATCGCCGTCGCCCAAGCTTAAGCTCCGGGCCACGAACGAGTATGGAGAGTACGACAAGGTGTGAATACATATCGAGGCAGTTATAGCTCTTGCGTATCTGTTAATACAGACTACTGTAGTATAGATGCCTGTATATCGCAAACATCAAGGCCACCCGCCGCTTCCCGCCCGCGCGTCCTGCACGTAAATAGTCGAAATTATTAATTTATTTTGCCGTTCGTTCCCCCCCCGCTGCTGACGGACCGCCACCCAGGCTTCACTCAAGATGTACGGGCTGGACATGGTGATCGAGCCGTTCCGCTCGACCACCGTCACCGCCGAGGGGATGCTAATAGATTCACCCGCACACATGTGAGCGAGGCGTTCGTCGCCGAAAGCGTCCACGGTCAATACCACCCCCACCCCGCGCTTCGAAGGGATTCCGACTTCTACGCCCACTCTCGGGTACGGGCTTCCCTCCCGCAGGGTACGAAGCTGACTGCACAGCTACGTGTGCCCGAACTACGTAGGCCGCGTTCATTAATCACATGGGTGACTGTGGCTCGATACGCGAAACTTCGGCGTGGCTTCTTTCAGGCTCCAGGTGTGCTGAGGTGGAGGAGAGGACATGACGAAGAAATTTCGGGTGGGACCACAGGCGGGAGCTGGAGGCTTCACCCGAACACCCGACACTTTCATCAAATGATCCTAGGCCAAGAGAAAAAATACAACACAAAGATAGATGAGGTGTCACAGCAGTGAATGAGATCGATTTTCACGCTGTGGGGACTCCCACGCCCAGTGCTTCTCGAAGAAGGCAACAGCCCCATGCCCTAGGGTTTGGGTTTGTTAAGTCTGCCTTCCGACCCTGGAGTCCGCTAGACCAACCAACATCAGCAGATTCTGCACTTTGCCTTGGGTAGAATTTGTAGTCGGGTTTGGTCTGGAGCCATATTCTCTGTTGAACCGAGTCTTGACTTGATTCTTCCAAGCGGAATCCCCCACCCCCAGCCTCCAAAACATAGTAAATGATGGCCCAGCAGTCCGTGCGAAGCCAGTCCGTTCTCGCGACACGTCAACTGTTGGTTCTGAACGAATGCCGGTTCTGAAAGAATGCCACTCTAGCTTCCCAACTCCACTGAAGATGTTGTGTGAACTGCGACGGAAGATGTCAACGTCAACTCCCACTGAACGCAACAATATATCCGTTGGTGTGGGATATTGCGGGCTGCTGAGGTCCACGCGTCCAGACGGGGGACGAAAATAGACCCCTTCATTATTTCCCCGTCAAGCCAGAGCCGGGGGGAGAGGGGCACGAAATCGACCCGAAACGGCTAAGCAGACCGTTGATTTGATGGGCGATGTTCTTATCCCGCCCCGCGGAACGCATACAGAAAATGGGGTCCGTCGACAACGTATTTAGTTGTAGTCGCCACCGCCGGGTGCGGTCTGCACGGTAGGTACCAGAGGGCGTAGTCTAGGATCCTCGGCCGAGCCGTGTGTTCATGACCCAACCTTCATCCTTCTCGTGCGAATCTGTTTTCTCAACGGCAGTTTTCTTTGCGGCGGGCTGGGCCCCCACTGCCGTATTACCGTGCTAGATCAGGCGGCGGCGGAGCGTTACACGATCCGTACCTTGTTTTGTTATTTTTTGCAGGTACGTGTGGCGGTTGCGGTACGCGGACCAGGAGGGGGCCCCGCAAAATAGCGGCACCGCGGGAGATGCCTGGAACTGCACCACCGGAAAGCCCCAGGTGAGTGTTCGCAAGTGCCGCGGGCCCGAGATGTTGGCGGTCGCACGATTCAATAGCAGCTGAGACTGGCGGCCGGCGCCGCGTGAACCACTAGCCCTAGAATCCAAATACTGGTGGCAATTACTCGAGGGGGGCGACAAACTGCGCAGAGTACGCGGGCAGGATCACCGCTGAGCTCACCGACGAGGCCACCTTCCCGGAGGTTCACGACGGGAGCAACAGCGATCAGAAGAATTCACTCACACGTAATTATTTTTTTTCTTGGTATGTGAACCTCCACTTGTTGTGTGGCAACAGCATACCATGGTAGAGAGAGAGATACCGCCACCGCAATAAATGCCACTTTTTTCATCATTGTCAGGTCACTGTAGAGCTAGAAAGACCGGGCACGGCCTACTTCCTGTCCGTGGAGAGCGTTGACGAGAACGGAAGGGTCATCACTGAAGGGAATAGCAAGGTATCGTGTAAATACGTCAGGTGAGAGAGAGATGGGGGACAGGTGAGACAGAGACAGAGACGGACAGAGAGACCTACATGAAGACAGAGAAGGGGGGGGCGAGAGAGAGAGCGAGCGAGAGAGAACGCTAATTCGGCGTAGCAGCTGCCGCCATGGGAGAGGCTGTTGGGTCGTTTTGGGCGATTCATTGGGGTGGGAATGTATTCCGAAACGTCGGTATCGACGTCGACATATCCATCCGTGAGGGGTCTAGGTAGCCCGACCGGCTTTCGCGGGCACCCTTAGAGAAATAGCCCCAAGGTCTGACCTTGGGACGTTCTTGATGCCGGCACGCCCGTTTCGCAGGGCTGCGTGACATGTCCACGCTCTCGGCCGACACGGACAAACGAATGGCAAGGACAAGCCGCTTGGCGTTGTAGAATAGAAGGACGAGGAACAGCACAAATGAAAGCCCCCCCCGGTAACCTGCCTTTTGGGCTCTGTGAGCACGTCAGAGATCGCACCCCAGCTCTCTACGCAACAACTCGCTCTCAACAACACTCTCCCTATTCTTACGCTTGTCCTCTCTTTCTCTCGGACACGCTTTTGTATTTTCTTGCGTCTCACGGGCGCCGCATTGCTTCTTCGGCGACCGCGACGGCGGCGGCGGTGGCCTCTTATTCTCTGGCAACTAGGCGTGAGATCCGCGACCTGACGGATAGGGACAGGGAAGCGTTTCTCGACGCCATGCTCATCTGGTACACCCTCCCGACCGACGTGGGCAAGGACAGATATGGTCCGAGCTTCAGCAACTACCAAGTCATCACCGCCTATCACAACGCCGACGTGAGAACTTTCTTGTTGTTTGTTGGTATGTGTTTCCGAGCCGGTCCACAAACCACCAATGAAGGGGCTTTTGGGTGTACGGCACGATCTTTTTTTGTTTTCATTCCACGTGGATATTCCGAGGTGACGATTTTCTCCTCTCGCATTTGTCTATCTTTGGGGCTGCTGCACGGCATTTTTTGGCTTCTGCGTTTTGTTTCCAACGCGCGCCACGGGGTCCTCATTGATGCGATACTCCCGCGGGTGGGCGGCGGGGGGGTGTCAAGCGGGCTTTCGATTCCAGAACGTGTCCAACACCTCTGAACGCCTATCGACGATGCCTTGTGCCTGACCAAGGTGGACATGTCTGAAGGCTAAGGATTCGAACGAATCTTGTCCCTAACGCACTCTTTTCCAAACATTCTTCCTTCTCAGGTCGAGAACTTCTGCTATCACATCGGGCTGCAGTTCTTGACAAGCCACGCGGCCTTCGACCTCACCATGGAGCGCTACCTTCAGATGATCGACCCCAGCGTTTCGCTTCCGATGTGGGATTTCATGATCGACTCCGCGTCCTTGGGGCACGAGTGAGTGATGCAACTTCGCAGGGTTCACGAACCAGAAAAGAGACTCCAGGATCGAACTATTAATAGCAACCGAATTCATATTGCCACCTATACATTCTTGCGATAAACCTGTGTTTGAACACATCCCCGAGCAACGACCACCAGTAAAATCTTTCTTCTGTGGGCGACACCAGCAGCAAGTGATGGCTTTTGGAACAGTTTCTTCTTTTTCGTTCTCGCGATAACACTTCAGGAGAAGCTCCTTTTGCCCAAAGAAGAAGGCGAAGAGAAAAAAAAACTCCCCTGGCACCTTCCTTCTATGTGATCCCGGCTGGTGGTGCGCCCAGAAAAATGCACCGAAAGGTAACAAAAAACGACTGGCGCCCAGAAAAAAAAATGGAATGAGAAAAAACAACATGACTGTGTTGCTCCCGTACAGGTGGTACAACAGCGTCGTCTTCGACAATGACTGGTTCGGCTCCGCTTTCGGATCCCAGGAGAACGGCTACGCGATCCCCGAGAGCCGCTTCGGCAACGTCTCCACGATTTACGACCCGGACGGGACGCTGGTGGACAGCAGGATAAGCTCTTACCACAACGCCTACGGCTACGTGACCTCGGCCTTCAACTACCAGGTACGGATTGGTTGGTCGTTGCTCCCCTTCGGGGCGAATTTTCCTATGGGAGGCGGAGAGAGGGAGAGGTGGAGAGAGAGAGAGATACAGAGAGAGGAAGAGAGAGATAGAAACATAATGTTCTCAACAAGAAAGCACACATGTTGTTTTTGGTTTCGGCACACGCGGGCGTCGGGTTTCCGACATTATCGATATGAAATCCGTGTGCCAACATTGACAACGGGCCTACCTAGTGTCGCTTGTCCATTTGTTTTTGCCCGTTTTCTGTCTGACGCAGTATATGGTAGAATATGAGCAGATCGCCCCCACACGTCACATCCCTGGTCACATCTTACAAGGGGGGGGCGTCAAAGTGTTGGGTGTGTTTGTGTGTTTTCGTTCTAGTGCCAGTCTCGGAGTATCTTTGACGTATCATCGTCGGTCACCAGGAGCACAAAGGAGAATGCAGTGCTTTGTGTGTCCCGCCCCCCCCTCTCCGGTGCCTTCCTCCCATGTTTGATGCGATGAGGGCTCTGGATGCGGGTGAAGGGTGGGGCATTTTACCCCGTGATCGGACGGTGAACCTCACCGACCATCTCCGGCCTCTCGCCCCTGACTCTGACCTGTGCCACTATTATACCAGCGCCTGGTCACAAAGAACGAAATGTGCATACCCACAGGCGCGACCCCCCCGCAAACCAACCCAACCGCTCGTTGCAGGATCTCCCGAGAATGTCCCGCACCAGCTCGTTCTGCGGCGTGCCTTCGCACGCGGTTCTCTCGACGGCCGAGACGTTCGTGGACTGCTTCGACGGCGGTTACACCACGCTGTCTGGCTGGGAGTCCTGCATGGAGACCATGGTACGTACGTACATGTCTTCTCTTCTCTCGCTCTCTGTCTCTCTCTCTCGTTAGCACGGACGTCCGTTTTTTCCGCAAGTGCCGTCACCCCCCTCTCTCTCCCTCTGGCTAGCACCCTGTTACCGCAGTTGTTGCACGTTTTGCTTCGTCGAAACGCGGGGAACGTCACATTGCACAAGGACGGCGATCTCAGCCGCGCCATTTTCTTCGAGTGCGTGTCCCCGCCTGCAATGCTCCACCCTTGCGTTGTTGTTGCCAAGACGGTTTCATGGCAGGTCGCCTGCCACAGGCAGCGCTGGCCGGGCCTGCTACTGCGTCACAGTTGAGATGATTAGATCATAATAATGATAAGCTCAGATCTTCCCGGAGAAGAAGAAACTGGGGTCAAGAAACATACCACACCGGTGGATCATTCACTGCATCATCACACGTTATGCGGTACTCGTCTCATGCCGTGGTCATCCCATGAGGTAGTCCCCCGTGTGGTAGCAATCCTATGTGGTGTAGTATTCCTATGTGGTAGTCAACCTAGGTGTTAGTCATCCAATGCGGAGATAATTCTAGATATGACGTAGTCATCCTATCCGAGAAGTCATCCCATGAGGTAGTCCTCCCATGTGGTGGTAATCCTATGCGTTTGTCTTTTGATGTGTTTGTCATCCTGCAATAGGTCGTAGTCGTCCCAAGTGGTAGTCACCTATGCTTGACGGTATAGCAGCAGAAACGCGAGGAACCGAGTCTCGACCCGAAATGGATCCTTCTTTGTAGAGGGAGGTACATATGCACTTGCAGGAAGCGTCAAGCTTCGAATTCTTGGTACGGAAATTTACTTGGTTTTTGGACTTCAGGGCCCCTCGTCTCTATCTCGCTACCTTAAAAGAGTGTCTTCGGCCGGATGGGGTATGTTTGCCCCATTTTGCTGGCTCGTTCTCGTTCGTAGACGTAGGCCGCCTGTCTATTTTCGTTGGGGCCCAGGGGTTTTCGCCTTGTTCGGCTTGGAACAGAACAAGAACGCCCCGGGAAGAGGAAACCACGAATGAGAGGGTGTGCCCACAGCCCGTGCTAGAGAGTACCAGTGAAAAGTAGCGCGGGGGTTCATTCACGCTCTTCTAGATGTTGGTGCTCGGAAATCTCAACCGCTGCCACAACCGACCGCCGTTCACAGGTCCACGGCGACATCCACGGTCTCCTGGGAGGCGCGTTCAGTTGCAATGTAAGCATAGTTGCCGTGCATGAAAACGAGCGTTAGTTTCAGGATCCCTGTTGCTCACTTGAAGCGCAGTATCCAGTATCTGAATGGTGGGCTACACCAACTGAGGACCACGCAAAGGATTTCTTACGCCCCTCCCCGCTCGCCTTATCTCATGTTCAATCGCTCCTTCACCTTAATAAATACTCTATTAATAAAGAAACATTCATTAATTTAGTCCCCGTCGCCGCCGAAGACGAAAACGAGCGCTATTTAGACCGGTTGTTTATCTCGCGTGACGATACGCTGAAAAGCCTGGCTGAGGCAATAAACCATTCGGAGGGCTTAGACGCTTATTCTCAAGGCGTTTTTCATTCTATAGCGCGTAGGTGCGCTCATGAACATTCCACCCAGATGGATTTAAGTCGTGTTGCTCCCTCATGGATTTAAGTCGTGTTGCTCCCTCCCCCGGTTCATGAACGATGACCCTCCCCCTTGCTGCCGAAGACGGACATGAGCGCCTTCTCCGAGGCCCACCCGGAGTATTCCGCGGGGCTCCTCAGCTTCGTACTGGAGTACATGACCTTCACCTTCTGGCCCACCAACAGCTTTATCCCGCAGGCAAACGTTTGCCAGACGAGCTGTTCCACGGGACAAGACGAGAGGTTCTGCCGGTGCACGTGCATGATCGACGCCTTTGCCATCGACGACAAGCAGGTGGGGTGGGTGGGTGCGGGTACTACGGTGCCCCCGGCCGACGAACGGCAACTCGGTGTGATGTTTGATTTCTGCAATATGCATGCACGCATGCGCATGGGCGCACGACTCTGACCACGTTGCGAGCGTCTCCTTAGATCGCCCTTGTTCTGAAATTATATCGCTGCTTTGTTTTTGGGCGGAAATTGTCTGGAATTGGTTTTTGGAGGGGGCGGGAGAATAGTGTTTTGCGACATCTAGTTATATCGCACTGAGCGAGTAAGATGTGCGCATCCTGACGAGGGAAAAACAAACCGCCCTAGGACAAGGTTCATGCATTCGCGCCAACGGTGTTTGTTCACAGCTACATGCTGCTAACCTTTGAGGCCCTCCAGGTGACCGACACTAAGTCGAATCCTCGCTTGGTTTGAACCAAGGACCCATTCGTAGCGTACACGCTGGATACAAACGGTCCGCGGGCAGGTGTTGGAGGGCACCACGCCACGCATCCCCCACCACACTTACCTAAACAAGAAAAAACCGCTCACTCGAATCTTCTACACACGAGTAGTCTTCGCGGCTGCTCCGTTTGCACAACATGGGTGGCAAGCGAGAAGTTTCGAAGTATGGATTTTCCGGCCGAGTGAAATTCGAAACAGTCGCTGACCCGGGGTGGTTGCGTTTCACGGCAAATCATTCTGTCCGACGCCAAAATGAAACTCGTCGGTGCCATCCGTGAGTACAACCCCCGCTCCCTTCGAATAAAGGCCAGTAACCCTCACCCCGCCTCTTCGAGGAGAAAAGAAAACCCACGTAGGGTCGGGGAGCAGTGGAGAGGTAGATCATCACATCATGGAGCAAACATGCATCGACTGTCTTGTCCTACCGATCACCCCGGGCAATACATGTTCCGATCGCCTAGATATCCTACAGACGACCAGGGGCAGACGTGATCAGATCCCTTACATACATTCGTCCCACCAATGAGAAACAAAAGATGTCTTGTTCCATGGCGTTGGGGGGGGGGCTGCTTCCAAAGACTAACCTATACATGATGATTGTATCTGCCGTCGCCATGTAAATGTGTGTATCTCAATCCTATTTACGGTTCGATAATTCTCAAGTTGTTTTCCCGTTTTCGATTCTCATTGCTGCTGCTCCGATTTATTTTTCACGCAGGTCTACGCCTACATGGAGGACTTCATGACATCAGCGAGCGTTAAGTTTCAGGGTGACCAGTACATTTCGTACGACGGCGACGTTCGATTCCCGTACGGGTTCATGCAGGCGAGAACGCGTGGTGGTTTAAAACGTCTACACTGCGTCTGCGTCTGCGGCTGCTGCTGCGGCCGCTGTTGTTGCGACCGGGATGGGACCGCTGTCAGTTCGAGTGGTTCCTGCTACCAGTGTTGACGATGCACAACACCTGGCTCGTTCTTCCTCCTGAAGGGTGGCCAACAGTGATCGCATAGGGGGAAACCTCACTACCGAACACAAACGTTTAGGGTCAAGTCCGTACATGACCAAATTTCAAGCCGCCGCCTCGGCTCGGGGAAATTCACCGCCAGGCTACTGTAGTACAACATGTGCACTTAAGGGAGCCCATGCTTGGCGGTGCCCACGGGTCCACGAAAAAAGCCTCGATCCACCCTTGACGTTTGTCAGGCTCGGGTCCAGCCCCCACCCATGCAAGATTCAAGGATGTGCCCGGCCAGCCTTACATCCGACATGAATACACAGGCTGTGAGATAATGTGTTGTTCGCGGCCCTCCCGTTATTTGAGCATCTAACGTAGACGACCCGGATCCACGATGTGTTGTTCCCCTCCCTTTATCTGAGCAACTGTCTGAGTAACTGACTGATGTAGAAAAGACAAACCCATGTCATCTTTGTACCCTTCTTCCCAGGACCAAACCCGCCTCAGCGATGAGGAGAACCTGCTGCTCATGCGGTATCTCATCAAGATTGGGTGCGAGCCCGGCGCCGTGGGGTCCATGACGACACTCGCCAGCCCCCTAGACCCGGTGCGTGTTGTGCTTTTTACCGTTACTCTTCGAAGTTGCCGTTTCTATTGGCTGAGAGGGGTACTCATAGTCGTGCATGCCGTACAGTAGTCATTTGGCCATTGACCTCGCATCCCTTTAAAGCCGAGACGGAGCAGGCCGGGTTCTCACCGGACCAGGCTCTCACATCACAAGGCGCGAAGCGCCTCGAGATATTGGCTGAGGGGGGGGGGGTGTTTGTCTACCTCTCTTGCCAACTATTTGTGCTCTGTTGTTACCATCGCGCTTGACTGTACTTTCTGGGATCCTTCTAATTTTTCCATTGGATACATGTAGTTGGCCTCCCGTGACCAAGGAAGGCGATCGCGTCATTTTGACTGGTGCAGGTGTTGGGACGTCTAGTCTAAGCAGAAACGGTAACGGTTTTCGTAACGTGAAGACAACAACAAGAGCACCATGATCCTCGTGAATCTTGTTTGGTGATGCTGCGGCTGGCTCCGCGAGGGGCGGTTGGTGATTCTTCCCCGGCGTTGCGAGTAGCCTACATCGGTGTCGCTCCGCGGGAAGGAAATATGGAGATATTTCTCGTGTGAACGCATGCCATCCCTCCCCCTGCCCCACTCGCCAGTCAGGAATTTTCACTCCTCATTGCTTTCGAAGGCTGTTTCTGCACGTGTCGATTGGGCGGAATACCATGCACTGACGGGTTTTCTATTGGCGCCGACAAAATATTGCGTATCACGGTCCTGACTTGTACCTTGACCTCCGTTGGTGTCTCCCTCTTGATGCTCTGCAACGAAGATTCTTGCTCGCCGGTGTATCAACAAGAAATTCCTTACCCTTGCCTTTGCAGCCCTTCTTTGTCAGCCACTCCTAAGGCAACAGCGCTTCACTTGTTTTGATGCCGTCACCCTCATCGTCTAATGGCTTTTGCAAAACCAACCAAAAACCAATTTGTGTTGTCAACGCCTCCCCTTCCCTAACTTCCCGCACATCCTAACGAATCGTCGTTCGGGGTGTGTGTGGCGCTCCCCATGAATCGAGGCGCTCGCTTGCAGCAAGTAGCTCAGGCCAACTACGTCTGTTTGTTCTTTCATAGAGTTGTCGCCAACGTACCCCACCACTACGCTCACACACACACACACACACACACACACACCCCTCGTTGCTGTCGTTCGGAGGGGGCATGATGGTTCCCCTGAATCGAACGGTCGCCTACAGTAGCTCAGTCGTGGGACTGTCGTGTTTCTCTAGGTTCCCGCTGAATTCCCCCTTCCCCCCCCTTCCCCATACAAAATGCGTGCAGTTGTTCTACATGCTTCATTCCATGTTCGAGAAAGCGCTGCACATCGTGTGGCTTTCGCCGAGGTACCGCGATTCGTTCTCCATGGACTGGGCTGAAGACGGGATCTGCCCCGGGAGCGGCTACACGGACGAGCTCCCTTTCACGGGTGGGATTGGTTTTCGGTGTCGCCGGTGTTCGTCGAAAACAGGACGTTCACGTTTTGTTCGGTTTTGGGCTCGACGGTTCGTCAAAAACAGGATATTCACGTTTTGTTCGGTTTTTGGTGTCGACCGTCCGTCGAACAGAGGACGTCTCGTTAGGATTTTGGTGTCGACGGTTCGTCGAAAAGAAGACGTTTCGTTAGGTTTTTGGTGTCGACGGTTCGTCGGAAAGAGGACGTTTCGGTATGTTTTAGGTGTCGATGGTTCGTTTAAAAGAAGGCGTTTCGTGTTCCGGCCGGCCAACCGTGTGGCCTCTTGAGGCAGTCTCCTTCGACACTCGACAAACTGAATGACGAAAATATCACCTCGCCAAGCAAAATGCCTCTGGTCATGATTCCGAGGCGTTAAGGCCAAAGTGAGATATAAGCCCGACCGAGCCGCCGCACGAGACAAGTGTGTTGTCTACAAAGGTGGTCGGTCTTCGCGCTTGTCGAACGTTGCTTTGACCTCAACGCCTCTCGCTGACGTCTCGCCGCTTCACCTCTACCTGAGTCGACCGCTGTTGAAACTTTTCGCCCCTTTATCGATGAGAGGGCCGGGTCGGCTTATCATTCAAAGAATGGCGCTCTCTCACGGTTGGTTGTTGTTGTGGAACCAAATCTCATGCTATTAATATCTGTCTCCAAATCTCCATAGCCTTTGTTAGGCAAGTGCTGCCCTTTGGCACCGCTGCTTAGTACCTAGTACGAGGGGGGGCACCGTCGTTTTATATCCGCCGAGTGCGCCACCTTGTCATGTCCGCGCCGCCTCCCACGCGTACCCCACCTCGCCCTTTAGCCGACATTCGATCTGCGTGCTGCTCTGCCAGCCCTTCCGGTTGTGACAACGCCCTGATCATGAAGGTTTTAACTGAGAGTGAAATCCTATGCCACCGCCGTCGATTTGTAGATAGCATTGAGCCCGGGAGCTCTCCCCCTCTTGGTATGTGGTGCACGAAGCCTGCTGGCTTGTCACTTGCCTGAGCAACAACCGCACAACCGGAGCGGGCCTTCCGCCATGGAGTACGCCTAGCCTTCGCGCCTGCACGTGTGTACGTGTCGCTGACGTACCCGCGCCTCTCTAATTTGTCCTTGCGAAACGTATGCTGGGCCTGCGTATGTCCGGCCTCTCGCCCCATGCCGGCTGTATAGGGATGCGAGGTCTATATCATCTACCTACGGCGTAGCACTTACATGAGTACACCGCCCCTCACCTTGTTGTCTCTGCCGTGGCGCAGAGTCCTTGTTGGGCCTGGGAGAGGGGACGACGTTCGTGACGAACGAGCGCCTCTTTGAGCTCTTGCACCCGTCGAACCCGGCGGTGCCGTACATCTACGAAGATTTCGCCAAGTGGGGCACGAGTGACTTGGAGCAGTGGGACCCGTACAACACTAAGAACGAGGGGTTTCCGCCGCTGTCGGAGAAGAAAGGGGAGGGCCACGGGAGAGAATAACGTGTTTGACTACATGGTTCTGCCGCAAAAAACGTGGTATTTTTTGTCTTCGTCTTCGGGAAAAACCAACACCGACGCGAATGACGAAATATATATCCTGCGACCTTGTGACAGATCTCTAGACTACGTTTATTAGTATAAATTAAGTCGTGATTTTCGTGTGTTTGAGGCCCACGACGTTTACGCGCGGCGTTTCCCCCCCTCATCTCCGAACCCCCCCGCATTTCATGAGCCAGGAGTAGGCCGCCCGTTCAACCTCCGTATTATCAAGTAAAAGGATTGCGCACCAGCTAATCAATATTTTTTGCACAAAGCAAAGTGTTTCACTAGCGGCAGCCGTGAACGGACCGGAGCTGGAACCTGCATGAAAATTTCGTCGTTGAGTGTGTGTGTGGGTCTGCAGGTGAAGGAACCTCCGCTGTATAGTTCGTTGTCTGGATGAATGACTGCATCTTGTCGCAATATTGTATTCCATGTTTGTGTCTACCACTGCCGTATCCGAGCCACTGTCTCTCACCACCTGTGTGCAAGATAGTGCGTTTCGCTATTGTTTTCACGTCGTACCCGTCATCGTAACCTGTCGCTTTCCGTATTCACGGTGTAGTTGGATCGCGCTGCATCGCCTTCGAGAAGATCGCGCTCGTTTTCCAGGGGGAGTGGGGGGTTCCACGTGCTCCAAGTGCCTTTGCCTTTGCTTGTGATGTTTGTTCAGGCCCGACCGCTCCGTTGGGGCACGTGGACTGGGAAGAGATGGGTGTGTTCTTGTAAGCATTCGTCTCGTGCTAGTATTCTTGTTCCGAATTGTACCCTCTTCTCCTGTGTTGGGTTTGTCGGGGAAACCTATCGGAGCCTTCCCTGTGTGATGGTCGCTTCGTTGATTCCTCCCATTGATTTGTGTTTACCGGATTCTTCCGCGTACCCTAGAAGTGCGGCCAATCGAGTTTGGGGCTTGGGATGATCGACTTGTTCGTAGACTCATGTCGTGGGGCAGCGACCGAAAGTCCCTCAGTGGATACGCCCGAAACAAAGCCTAAAGTAGTGGTGGCCCTACCCTGTTAGTAATCGCAATCGAGCCTAAAGGACATCGACCATGACAACACCTTGAATTAGAAATGCTTTGGCACTTGGTGGATACATTTGTTACTGCGGGAAAATCTTACTCAATTTATTGTGCTTCGTACTAAATTGAACGCTTGATCTTTCATCTCTTGAAGACCACGTGCCATAGAAAAGGCGGTACCGGGTGATACGCGGGGAAGGATTTCCCACCTGATGCTCGTGTATCAGAGACGACAATCAAACCTGTCAAGGAACACGTTATGATATTTTGAAATACTCTTAGTTTTCATTTGGACCAGCGGTTCTGCATTATATTTTCATTTGTTTTGGCTGAGCGTGGGGCAAGAGCATGGTTGTATCGTATGGAGAAAGGCCCTTCACTTTTTTTCGCGTTTCATTTTCTGGTCAGGTTTCGTTGGCGAGCTCAAATTCATTGGATCTGGCTATATGTGGTACCATATTGTGTATGTCCGACATTTCGAGTTGTTGGAGTAGTTGCCTCCCTGTGGCATTGTTGTGGGATGAGTTCAATCCGTCTCCGACCTAAGTGCCGGTCGCCTCTCCTCTCTTGATGTTGGTTAGGCTGACGCCACACAAACGTCGTGGGCGTCTCACTTTTCAGCCCTGGGCAACAAGGAAGTCGCGTAGGGTAAAGCGATGAAAGTTTTTCAACATGTTTCGTCTATGGTAGCACAGCACCCTCCAAGAGAGCGATATGACGAGGGTACGATCGACACAAGGAACAACCCCTCGCCGGGTCCCAGAGCATGGCAATCAAATCGTTAACTCGTTTGCTGTTTTCAACAGCAATGAGACTGGTCAACCCACTGGCGGCGCGGTCGATGCTGGTAATATAGGCACAAAAAACTTATAATGACGACGCGTTTTGATTGGTCAGTCGGTTTTTGTCGTGGTTGGTCGATGCTACAGTAAACAAACATAATGCACACGCATACATTGCAAACGGCGAAGCGAACACGCGGTGGTGCCTAGTTTTTCAGTGTTACTGGTACTGTATCAATCCATCCTTATCCGTGTTGCGGGAGAAAAAAACACAACAGAACGTAGGAATGGTTTGGTTTGTGTTGAGAAAAGGTTGTGATATTGACTAGAAGTGCAAATGGAAACAAAACGATGCGATGGTGACGATGGGAACGAGGTGCTGGCTGATGGTGTACGGGAACACAGGGGAGGGTGAAAACGATGCGTGCACAAAGAACTCACCATGCGAGTGTGTCGTTAGGTATACACTGTGGATTTCCGGCAGGATCATGTACGAAATTCACGTACGGGCGTTCCCTCGCAAGTTGAATCTCCGCTCCATACACCTGACCCTCTTACAAACTTAGCCTTATTTTTTGTGCGCATGACACCCTACGATAGCGTACGTGCGCACCGCTGTGCCTGCGCTATGAAGCGCGTTCACAAGAAATCGAGGTTCAGAATGCTTGAACAGAAACGCAATGGGTTATGCAAGTGCATAATATATCGCATTATGACTCTCAAACTGCAAACCCAATATGGCAGTGTAGCTAAGGGCAGTGTGCTCAATACTTGGGGCACGCAAGGCGTTGGACATTACTCCAAAGTTGTTGTGTGTTTTTTCCTTTCGGGCGCGCGGGCCGGCAGTGTACAGTACTGTGTGTGGTGTTTGCCACAACATGCAGTAGCGAGCAAGTGTTCGCAGAATAGGAAGGTCTCAACTCCCAAATGGCGAATGGTCTTCACCTACCTGCGGCACAAGAGAGCAGGGAGGACGTTGTCTGACGGCATTTCGCAAGGTGAACCGTGTACTAGCCTGACCGGACATGACATGATGAGGAAGTGGCAGGAGCACTCACTACCGATGCACAGTATCGGAAAATGCCTCCCAGGAATTTATCCCGTATTGCCTTTTCCGCCCAAAACCTCGTTCTGCCGCCTCATCGGACGCTGTGGGTCCAACTCATCCCTCAGGACAAAAGCGACGAGGATGGTGACTTCAGAGCTTGGCAGGCCGTCGACGGCACGCGTGCTGAAGAAGGTAAAGGCACCAAAGCCTTCTTTGAGCTGCGGCGTTGGTTGTTCGGCGTGATCGACGAAACACATCAGAGGCTATTACAAGCGACGCACACCGCGTGCAATGGCAGGAAGCAGCTTGGCAATAGAACGCAAGGCGAAGGATGGGGAACAATTCCCCTCGGAACGTTCGTCCGTTGGGAAGGAGGTCCTATCTGCTCCGTGTTACTCGCGGCGGGTGCGGCGGAAAAACAACGATCAAACACCACCGCGGCAGGGAACGGAAACGCTCACCACAACACGGCAAGAGTCCTCGTCTTGCACGCCGTCTGTTCTTCCGCGCTCGGCCACAACATTCAGAAAAACAGGCAATCCATCCTGGTTCACTTCTTGCTTGGCTTCGAGGGCGCAAACTTTAGCGTGCGTTTCTTTCCATCCAACGACAGAAACCCATCCACAGGGGCGCTGTCCTTGCTGCTTACCTCCTTTCGGAGTGTTCCTCGAAGCACGGGGGTAGGCAAGGTGCTCGCTAGGTAAGCGCCATTCGCAGAATCTCTGTTCTGGCAGGTGTACGTAGCGGCCAAAGGGCTTGGCTCGAAGCACACCGACACTGTTTTCTCCGCAGCAAGCATGGAGTGGCAATGATCACGTCTTGACACCCATAGCAGTTGTTTCGACGCAAACACTCCTGCCTGTACCATACTACAGGCGGTACAGGAAAGGTTGGCGGGGGGGCAGGCAGTCAATACCTTGAGAGATACTGTGTCGGTTGCCCTCTGCAGACACACGTGTAGCACACCTACTTCTGAACAAGGGGCTTCGACGTCGACACACCACCCAGCGTGGCGGCGCGATCGACTTCGGCGGCCCACGGGCCCAACTGAAGTCGATATCAAACCGATAGACTACACCTTTATAGCGCTGCCTGGTCTACTGGTCTGCTCTCAGCTTCTGTACGGCTCAAAAACACCCGACACGGGAACATGGTCCAAGCCTACCCAACCACTGAGTACCCCACCGCACCCCCGACTCCCAACCATACCCGTGACACTCTCACTGAAAATCTCAAAAGACACTCAACAGAAATACGCGATTCTTTCTTCTTGACATTCACGACTCTCTTGGGGTGAGGTTCGATGACAACTCCTCTCAATGGAAACAGAACCAATGATATCCTCTCCGGTCTTGAAAGATTTCTCGTGATAAATCCTTCTTCATCTCATGAGACAATTTTACATGACAATGCCACCAAGGGTGCCCGATAAACATTTTCCGACACCTACGTCCCCATTTTCTTATTTGGGAGGTTTTTCGGGGGGGGGGGGGGGAA